AGTATACTGTAGAAACATACTCCTGTTTTTTACAGTGGCCTAAGCATTGATAAGCGTTGTAACTTTTAGGTCCAATAAGTTGTAGGCCCAACTCTTCAAAATCAATGTGCATATCATGCCTGTCGCATGGGTGGATGCTTGCATTGTAGCGTTCGTAACTGCCATTCTTCCACGAAGTGGTGTCACTTCTAATGGCTTTGAGAAGGATATGTATTTTACAAAAAGAACAAGTAAAAATGTAACTTTTTAATTTATTTTCTCAAATGTATTCAAAGACTTTGAAACTCACTTCCCGAAGAAAACCAGCAGCATTGGATTTACGAGACATGATAAGGCGGTGAAGTTCGGGATTATCTAAGCTCATATTCGGTAATACCTGGTAAACTTGTATCTAGGGAAAATTACTCGTATAATTGATGAATAGTGTATGGCTATTGCAGTGTTTTATTTTATTTATTTTAATACGTACATGACAAGTGGGATAAGAAATTGATGTATGCCTCACTACCTGAACTCGCACGTGTATCTCGGCCCTCCGTACACTTTCATTCTCCTTTATACCATATAGGTGGAAGTTGTACAACTTTGAAAATGGATCCCTGACATCTGTGAAAAATAGCAGTACAACAATCATAGTCGAGTTTAATGACTAACTCAAATTTTGATTCCAATCTTTTAAAACTTTTTCAAGTATACTTTTTTCAAGGAAAGTTCGTATAACTTGAGCCTCGTAGGGAAGATCCATTGGCATGCCATTTTTACCTATAGCTACCTCGTAATAAAAGGATACGTAGTCCTGTGGAGGTCCGTTACACACTGTAACATTTCCTGTCCGTATGCCTATTTTCTTTGTGAAAAAAGCACGTAATAATTTTTTTTTTTAAGGACGAAATGAGGCCAATACATGTATAACCTTAAAGTAAATTGGGCGATTGATATCGTATAGAAGGTGGGGTAAAGGAGCTCTCATTAAATTAACGCTTTCCATAAGAGTATCTGCTAAGTGACAAGTGTTTAATGGCAATTTTCTAGATGGTTAAAAGGTTAAACATATTATTTATGTACCGCATGTACATTTGGTATACTTCATTTACGTAACATCTGAATTTTATAGTTTTTTTTTCATTTCACTCAAAAACGCCCAATACACCTTACAGAAACATTCTCAACTTACCTTTCTATATTTCTCGATTAACCGCTGTCTGATATTTAACTCTTTTGGCACTTGATCTATTTCAACATCTTTTGAATTCATGGCTGGAGGTTCGTTTCTTTTTTTAGAATCGAAGTTCATGGCATTCGTTATATTTATTACAATAAATACTAATAAAAATATCGTAATCCATGACATCTTTTCTACTTGTGGTATGTAATTTTACAAAAAACTTGAAATCCTTTTTAGTATGTACTATTGTTGAATAATAGACACTCGTTATTTACTACAGCAGTACATTTTATGCAACGTATCTACCTCATAGGCTAGTAGGAGTCTCAACTTTCGTACTACTCTATTGACTAGTTTTTGCGAACTAATTTAATAAGCATTAGAAAGTAATCCCCTACTCTTCGAACTATACCAAGCAGAGACTAGCCAGAAGATGTCACGATAGTAGCAAAAAAATTTTTGAATTGCAAGAGTATGGCGTGCTGATAAAGTTTAGCTCAAAAATATCTGGCTTATGTTATGCTTAAAGCACTTTTCGAGAATTCATTTTTAGATTTTATCCACATTTCCTTTCTGAAGTAAGAGTTTGGAGATACGAAATTAAATCAATTAAAATTCTTAGATAACACTAAACACTTTATAGTTTTCAAATTCTTTACTCAGAATTATGGCCTTGTAAAATATGTATCTATATAGTTTCCTATATCTAATTTGAAACTTCATACAACATTTGTTGTACACTACCTTTTAAAATAATTACGTCAAGTTTAACTTCTCGCGTTTTCATGTATTGTTTGTTTTCTGAACTTAGGGTTATAGTAAATTACTCTGTCAAAAATAACTGTGTGATATGTATATAAATGTATGTAAAAGAATGAACGTTCATATCACAGTATTCCCACTACTTATTTTGATTAAATATTGCGTATTTCTGTTTATTTCAAGATTCTCATCATCGTTTTAAAAAAAAGTGTGTACGTATGTTTGATTATTGTACAGAAGCCCTAAAATTTTAATTTCATTTTAAATTGATGTAACATTGGAAAAAAATTATTAAAAAAAAATATATGAGGTCGTACAAAAAAATTAGTAAATAAATA